GGGCCCCCCCCCCCCCCAGCAGCCCAGGCTTTTGTTGTGGATGCCTGGGGTAGAGCAGCTGGGGTGCTGCCGGGTTGGTCCTGGGGGGACCTACCCAGCAGCTCCCCAGCTGTTCTGTCCCAGGCTCCAGATTGAGCCGCTGTTGAAACTGATCAGTGGCTAATTCCAGGAAGCTGGGGGCAGAGCAATTCTGCCTCCAGCTTCCTGTAGTCAGCCCCTGGTCAGTTTCAGCAGCAGCGGCTGAATCTGGAGCCAGTTCCGACTTACATACAAATTCAACTTAAGAACAAACCTATAGTCCCTGTCTTGTACGTAACCCAGGGACTGCCTGTATACTTTTCTTTTCCCCTTGCGTGTATGTCAGGGATGCTTATTTCTGAAAGAGCCATGTTACAACTGTTAAGTTCATCTTGGAATTGGGGATTTAAAATTCCAGTTAACTAGTTAAACATTGTTTAACTGGTTAACCACTTAACCAGGATCCTGTGGGCTAAGGGCCACTCCTGCCCAACTGGATATAAGAAATCTGCGTCATGACACGATAGATCCGGCTGGGCTGAAGCAACACCCCTCCCCAACCTCCCCTCCAGGGGTGCAGGCAGCAGGCTGCTCCAGCTCAGCTGGGCCTGCCACACTGCGGACTGCTCTGGTCTGGCCTGCCACACCACACTGTATTTGGAAAGCTGTTCCCCTTGCCACAGGCGGAGAGCTGCTCCTGCCTAGCCAGACTGCCAGTTTACTGGTTATCTGGTAAGGATGATGTTTACCAGTACTTGGAATGAGCCTAGTTAAGCTGTCTCTGCTTCCTTTTTGGGGGGAAATGTTTTTATGAAGGTTTAATGCTCATTCTTGGTATTTAATAATTGGTGCCCAAAATAGATTTCTGGTCCTGCTTTTAAGCGCTTGGAGGGAGTACAAAAGCATGTAGTTTAGGAGAAAAGATTCTGCAAACCTGCAACTTTTTCCATGTTGTTGTTGTTATCAGTATGGCACCTGGACTACCCTTACCTTGGCACTCACTACAGGAGGCTCTCTACTTCTTTGACCTATAAACTCACTTTTGACTGATCTATAAAGCTAGAACTTTAACAGGGTTCAAAAGAGTTAGATTCATAGAGGTTAGGTCCATCAATGGCTATTAGCCAGGATGGGTGGGAATGGTGTCCCTAGCCTCTTTCTCTGGAAGTAGGAGATAGGGGAGGGAATCACATGAGGATTACCTGTTGTAATTCCTCAGTCTGGGGCATCTGGTATTGGCCATTGTCGGCAAATAGGATACTGGGCTAGATGGACCTTTGATCTGACCCAGTATGGCCATTCTTATTTTCTTATGTTCACAATGGAATTATGAGAAGTAGTTTTAATGAGAAAGTAACCATGTGCATGGACAAACCTAGTTTGCTAAAGTTGCATATCTGTGTTTTTTGGGGACTGCCGCTTCAAGCATGTGGCCCATGCATACAATGAAGTTCTTTTGGTCTATTTGCCTCATTCTAAATGAACTCTTAAGTCTAAGAATGCGAAAGTTATTTCTGAAGCACTCTATTAAAGCCTCCTGGGACCAATGTTCCCACTAAATTTTCTACCTATGTGCAAAATAAGGCTATGTCTACACTCTCGGTTCCTTGCGCAAGTATGGCCATTCTTGCGCAAGAATCTGCAGTGTCCACACTACCCGCCCGCTCTTGTGCAAGGAAATTTACAGTACGGCGTGGTAAGAGAGGGCTTCTTGTGCAAGCGCTATGCTCTTTTTTTAACAGGTGTAAGCCCTCTTCCACAGGAGCTCTTGCGCAAGAGGGCAGTGTAGACCCTCGGCAGGGATTTCTTGCACAAGAAAGCCCTATGACTAAAATGGCCATCAGAGCTTTCTTGCGCAAGAGAGCGTCCACACTGCCATGGGCACTCTTGCGCAAAGGCACAGCTCGCAAATGGCAGTGTGGATGTTTTCTTGCGCAAGACTTCTTGCACAAGAACCCTTGTGCAAGAAGCTGCCAGTGTAGACATAGCCTAAATGTTATGATGTGCAATAAAGCATTTTGCAGATGTGAAACACATGCTGCTGGCTGCAGGTGTTCTGCTAATCAGCTGTACAGCATTTGAAAATCTCCTGAATGGCTGCTCAAGTGCTCAGCTTACAGGGAACACTGCTTGGGATGTGGAGAAAGGAGATGTGCTACCACTTCCAGACTTCAGCGAGCAACACTGCAAGATGTGATTCAGGCCATCCCTGCTATACATCCAAGATACATTGCAAAAAAGGTGGACGTATAGTGAAACCATGTAATGGAATTAATATAGATGGAAGAAATAATGTAAATGGAAGGGGGGATACGTTCCGGAGCAGTCTTTACATCACCTTAAAAATGTAAGGTGGGGAATTTTACTCCATAAGAATCAATGGAATAAGGGGAAGTTAGGTTCAAGAACTTAGGAAATACCACATTTCTGATTTTTAACATGTAAACATGATTTTATGACATCTTACTGTAATTTTTAATACTGTAATCTTATCCTGAGATGGTGACATTTTTGCTTGTTTATGTTGGAGAATTAGTTGGAGGATGAGGATGGAGAAGCAGATGAAAGCTCATCAACAGCCATCTCAACATCACAAACATCCACCAACTTGAGGACCTGCTGATTCAGCAACACCTGCTGTGTTGCTGTCAACAACATTACAACTTCTGGAGGCTCTTCAGTGGCTGCTGCATGGGTTTTTTTTTCTGTTTTTTAATGCAGAAGGTCCTGGTTGAGGCTCATTCGTGAATGATTTGGGATTCTTTTTACTTTTTTAGTAAAGAAAGCATCCAGTATTGTTTGCATGGTGCTCTTAAGTTTGGCATCTAAAATCTAACATGAACCATCTGCCATGATTGTTGCTGCTCTTGAAGAACGATCAATGAGATGGTTGTGTTCCTTAAAAACATCCATCTCCTACAGGTTGAAGACACATCAGAGGATAGGGATTGTGAGACTAGCATCTGCATCTTTATCTTGATCCTCATCTTCATTGACACTGTTTTCTTTGTGGCGCTATTTATCCAACTCCACTAGATCCTCATTACTGAGAGGCAAAGAATGAGATTCCAACAACTTTTTCACATTGTCCTCTTTGACTTCCTCAAAGGCAGCCTCCTTTGCTAGTTGAATGATTTCCTTATGTATGAGGGCTTCCGCACAGCCTAAGAAGTCATGCACAGCATCAGGATATGGGTTCTTCCAGGCACTATTCATTAACAGATTGGAGACTTCTCGCCAGGCAGCACCAATGATCATAACAGCATCCATGATATTGAATGTTTTCCAAAATTCCTGGACTGTAGGTTTTTCTTTATCAGTTTCCCAAATGAGTCTGCAGAATGTCCTCTGCAAATAATAAGCTTTGATGTTTACAATAACCCCCTAGTCCATTGGCTGCATGAGTTAAGTTATCTTTGGTGGTATAAAAACAACCTTGATCTTAGGACCGAGAGTTTCAAAATCCAGATTATGGGTGATCGCATTGTCCAGGTTGAGGAGAATCTTGAATGTAAGATTATTCTCCTCACAATACTTTTTCATTTCTGGAACAAAATAATCTGGAACAAACCATTCATGGAAAAGCTGCCTGGTCATCCAGGCCTTTCTTTGGGATTGCCAAATGACAGGAAGCAGAGATTTCACAGAGTTGTTCACAGCACATGGATTTTTCACTATGATACACTAGCAAGGGCTTCAGTTTCATTGCCTCCTAACAATAGAGTTAGGCGATTCATTGAAACTTTAAATCCAGGAGCAGACGTCTCGTCTAGGAAATATAGGTCCTAGGCAGCATGCATTTCCAATATAAGCCCATTTGGTTAGCATTGAAAACTTCCCATGAGTCGTAGCTGCCGCCTTCGATGATGGACTTCAGCATTTTGGAAAATGCTTCAGATGCATCCTAGTCTGCACTCACAGCCTGACCCTGCACTCACACATT